CTCTCTCTCTCTCTCTCTCTCTCTCTCTCTCTCTCTCTCTCTCTCTCTCTCTCTCTCTCTCTCTCTCTCTCTCTTTTCGCCTGACCTCTTCCCTCCCTCCTTACTCCACCCAGCCTCTACCCTCCCTCCACACGACTTCTCTCTGTCGCGTTTCCCTTTCATCCCAACCTCCTCCCGACCTTCTCCTTCTCCTCAACCTTCCTGTGCCCAACCATTTCCCTCCCCTCTTTTCTTTCACTCGAGCCTCCTCCCAACCTTCTCCTCCTCAACCTTCCTCCACTGAACCATCTCCCTCCCCTCTTTTCTTTCACCAAATATCCGCCTGACTTATCTCTCCCCCGACACCTCCCTCCCCTTATGCCAATCACACCTCCCCCCCATTGGATCCTCCACGATACCGACCCAGCCTACTCCCTCCATCCCTCACTCCACCTGACCACCAGCCCCCCTTGATTAGGCTTCCTTTATTTGTTAACGCCACACATAAGAGGTCCATTTCGTCTTTTTTCTTTCTGCGGACTTAACGCTGCATTTCTTATAGAGATCTCAATAACGGTGCACAGGTACAAAAAAGAGGGAGAGACAGAGAGAGCGACACAAATTTCATCAAGCAGTCTTGGAAGCTCTTCCTTCCCCTTCAGGCTCTTCCTACTTGGCACCTTCTCCTTTGTCGGTCCACCACCCAAAGTTTGTTTCCATTCTCCTCAAGTTCTTAGACCTAAACATTCCCCTCTCGCTGTGCAGGGGCGGCATTAAGATTAATCATCAAACAATCCAGCAACGGATATTTCAATCCATCAACATTTCTTTCCACAGTTCACGCTCTTCCCCCCTGTCCCCTATGCACACGTCAGTCTTCTCTCTCTCTCTAGGATCTCTTCCTCTTCCTCATAATCTTCGTCCTACTCGTTCCCTTGCTCCACCTCTCTCTCTCTCTCTCTCTCTCTCTCTCTCTCTCTCTCTCTCTCTCTCTCTCTCTCTCGCGCGCGCGCGCGTCAGCGTTAGCGTGCGCGAGCGGACTGGAGCATGAGGGTGTGCATGCTCGCCCTTTTTCAGATCGACAAACAAAATCTGGTGTTTACATAACTTGGAAAAAACAGGCAACAAAATGCACTCTAGATCATTCACGAATCAGGGAGGGACAGAGGGAGGAGAACTGAGAGATAGGAGGAAGGGAGGACGGGAAGGGGAAGGAAACAGAGGCCCATGCCCCACAGAGGAAGTCGCGGGGCCGAGGGAGAAGCACGGAGGTAGGAAATGTGCAGTGGAGGAGGATACGTCGAATGAGGAAGGTGATGC